AAAACAACCCAATAAGGCACTGATCTGTGTAGTGTGGGGCACACTGATAGAGGTATGTGCTATGAGAACACGCACAAAAAAAGGGATCTGATTCAGAATCCTGGGGGGTAGGTACCAAGAAAGTTACTTTCAAAAACACTGCCAGTAATTCAGCTCCAAATGGAAACAGCCACCTTCCCTTTATTTTATTTTGTTCTTAACTACCTTAACATCTCGATGCATGCATTTCAGTCACAGATAATGCTCAACCTGAAAATGCAACTAAAAATTTAATATCCCCATGGCTTTCTTCCATACAATGAACGGTAAAGTGGCTCTTTGTACAGGAATGTAAATTCTCCCACCACTCTTCCTTGTTTATTAGGTCACAAAAGTACAGCACTCATGAGTCATAAACTCTATGACACTAGAGAGTTTGCCCTGAGGGACATGATTTTATGCGCCTTAAAGTGTGAGTTACTACATTTTTCTTAAGGGCTTCTGGCCACTTCACAGAAATACTACCCTGCTGAGAATTTTCTCCTGAGCGTTCCGTCTGTGGCAGGCACAGATAAGTCACATTGTTTTCTTTTTAATTCCAAACCACCACCACCACCACCAACAACGACGACAAAACATTTGCAGGGTGCAAATTGATAAGGAGGAAAGGAAGACTCTCTCATCATGCTGCACACCATCTTCAGTTTACAATAGTAATCTCTGGGCAACAGAGCAGTAACTTACTCAGTTGGTAATTGTCCAGCAGACAGAGTTGCATACTGACAAAATAAAATCAGCGAAGACAAGGCTTCTCCCCAAGATCACTAGAGCTTCAGAAAGTGATAAACACAGAATTTACTTCCAGTTCCGACCATGCAACATAGGACATACGTGTTACTTCCTGTGCTTCAACTTCTCCCTCCAGAATGCCGACAATGAACGTGTTAATATGCGAGCGGATGACGAGATGAGAAACCTTGAACTGCATGAATTCCACACACAGTCTGCAGAAGTAAGTTCAACCTGAATCACCTATTTTTCAGAGACAAGGAGTTACGAATTTGGATCTGCCAAGAGTAAAAATTTGCTGTTCTGAAATCAAGAGGTTTTTATTCTATTTTATCTTATTTTATTTTATTTTAATTTAATTTAATTTTATTTATTTGTTATTGCTTTGTTTGTAAATGTTTATTTATTTATCTTGAGAGAGAGAGACAGCACGATTGACGGAGGGATAGAGACAGAGAGAGAGAGACAGAGACAGACAGAGAGAGAATCCCAAGCAGGCTCCATGCTCATTGCAGAGCCCAATGCAGGGCTTGAACTCACAACCGCAAGATCACAACCTGAGCCAATATCAAGAGTCAGAGCCCCCCCCAACCCGCACCCCAAAATCAGGAGGTTTATTTTGAAAGAGGGAGAAACATCAACAAGACAGGTAACAAAATTTCTTTGGAAGCACACAGAAAGCCCCAGGAAGTCCAAGCAATTACCACATGCCGCACAAGCCCCCACTCAGAAAACAAAAACAAAACAATACAATGAAAAAAAATGTAACAGCTTCTGACCAAAAATTCAAGTACTAGACACCTAGTTTTTTATTAAGCAGCTCCAGCCGGTGCCCAGAGATAACCATTTTATACTGAAAAAACCAGCATAGCTCACAGGGTTAGGCAAGAATAAAAATTAAAGTAATTAGACACACAAATGTGTTCGTGGCTAGTTAAGTCCCTGACTTTACACCATAATTAATTATAAGCATCGGTTCAATGTTCTATATTTTCTTTGTGGCATCTCAAACCTTAACATAAAAGAAATAAAGGTATCTGAGTTCCTCTGCAAGTTTCCAACACATGCATTGCATGTGCTAACACAACAAGCATTACTAATGTGCTTCTGCAGGATTAGCAAATGAACTTTTTATGTAGCT